ACTGTCCTCTGAAGATGCTGGCCACAGAGACTGGTGAAACGTTAGGAAGAACCACCTTCAGAACACGGCCAAGAAGCCCGAAAAACCTACAACAACCATCTATGTTACTTGGTGTTGTGCCCAATAAAGACGTTTCTTATGTTTGTGCAGCTTCATTTAAGTTTTGTTTGGCATCTAATGTCCCCTCTTTCGTCATTTTCATCAGATCTTCTATTTTGCTGAGACCTTCATTCACTTGCTGAAACCCTGTTATTATTGTCTTTTGCATAGTAATCTGCTATTCCTTTTCTATTTCTTGTACCAATGTTCAAAAACTTTGAGATTGAACAGACCCACTCTCCATTTGTTGTCTTAAAGTTTTGGAGGGCATCTCAGGCTTTCCAATGAATGGGGTTTGTATAGATAATACTATGGCCTTAACCACAATGATCACCTCTTATACAGTGGTGCCCTGCACAACGGTCGCTCCATAGAGCGACAAAATCGTGCAACGGTGCTGTTTTTGCGATCGCAAAAGCGATCGCAAAACGGCATCTAGATAGGGGGAATTTCTCAGAGCGAAGGTCGGTAAGCCATCCGCTTACCGACCTTCACTTAGCGACCCGCCGATCAGCTGTTCGTTGGGTCAAAAATGGCCGCTGCGCGCCCCGAAATGGCCACGTGCAGCCTTTTTGCACCCTCGTTCAGTGAGGGGAGGGCGCGAAAATGGCTGCCGGCCATAGGGAAACATCGCACAAAGGTAAGTATTCACCGGAATTGGAACGAATGGCATTTTTGGTTCCGTTGTGCGATGTTTCCCACAGCAAAGGTTAATCCGGAACGGATTAACCTCGCTGTATGAGGCACCACTGTATATCCTTCAACAGTTTCCACAATTTTATCAACAATCCAACCCCCTAATCATAAACTTCCCCTTAGATCTCCCTCCAATCTTTATCCAAACATTATAATATAAAAATCAACTTTTAACCCTGCAAATTTAAAATCAAATAGAACAGAGGCACAATTATTTCTTCTCCCGAGTTTAGCAAGCTTTTATTATCAGTCTCACACCCAATCTGGCAAACAAAACAACAATCACAGATTCTCAAACTGTCCAGTAGTTGTCCTTGAAGCCCATCTTATGGTCTTTCCCTTAACCCCTTAATGCTCCTCAGTCCAGTCGACCACGTCTGTTCCTTCTTTCTTCTCCAGAAAACAACCAGATTCTGTTATTAACAGTTCACAGAACAGTCCAGGAAATGGCAGAGAGAAACATGTCCCAGCCAAACTGCATTCACAAAACTCATGTCTTTTAAATCCTGTCCAATGGTATTACCATCTGGGATTCTTTTCCAGAAACATAAGATTTATTTTTCCATCTCACTCTCTCGGCTTTGAAACCAGTCTGCTGCATTACGATAGTTTTGCTTTTGAGGCAGACTGATAAGATAGGCTTGATGATGCTTTTCTTCTCTCAGCCAAATATTTTCATTCTTATTTTCAGCTTAATGGGGCTGTTTCATAAATCAAAGGCTTCAGTTGTTATATATTTTAAGCTTATATTGGTTATTCTCCTCTCCCTCGATAAGGGGTTACGGCTCCGTGCCAAATGTGGCTCCCGCTCCGATCCATGCTGAGTGATTTCTTCAGAGGGAAGAAGTCTGGGTTTGCCTCCCATTCTTCTCCTTCTGCTGCTCACCATCTGCTTCAGAGAGACTTCTCCTAGACTCTCCTTAGATCTCCATTTCAAAAGGGGGATCCCGGACCGGATTGTTCCAGTTTTTCCAGAGAGCTCTTCTCTGGAGCTACTGACAGCACCACAACAAAGCCCCACCTCCCGTCGTACTCCTTTTCCAATTTTGAACCAATCAGTTGTTCCATGTCTTCTTCTAACTGTTCTTGTCCCACGTATAGGTTTCTCAG